AAAAAAAATAACTATTCTCATCAACTTAAAACACTACATAATTTACAAATTTTAAAAATTGTGTCAGTTTATAAATTTTTCCCTAGCAGAATCACCTTCCATGTTACATTCTTAAGATAATTTTTCTCAGAACACAGAACACATACTTCTTTTTTCTTTTCTATTTTATATGATAGAAGATAACATATGCACATAAGTAAACATTCAAATACGTAAAACAAAAAGTTAAAACTTCCTCTCCTGCCAGTCCTACATCTGAAAGGTAATTGTTGTTAACCATTTTTTGCATCCTTCTAGATATTTTTTAGACTCCAAATGAGTTCATAATTTTCTGCATGAAATCAAGAAAAAAAATTGGGGGAGGGGGGAAGGAGGAATTGGTAAAGAGACACGAAAATCAACTGCACTATATATTGATAAATTAAAAAATTAAAATAAAAATAAATTTTTTACTTCATGTATCTTGGAAACACTTCCATGTTGGCAATATAGATCTACCATATTAATTATAAGAGCTAACTAAATATTACATTTTCTGAGTGGTGATAATTTCTTTAACCAGTACCCTATTGATAAGCAGTTGGAGTCTTTCCAGTTCTTTGCTATTAAAATATTGTTGTAGTAAATGCCCTTGAACATTTCATAGCATACCCTTGTATATGTTCATGCAATAAATTCATAGAAGTTAGAATGATGGGTAAGGGTATTTGTTTTATGGTAGTTATTGCCTCAAAAATGCCATATATTCTCTTCAGGCCCCTAAACTGATTGTACGTCACAAAAGATAAACAAGTGATTGTTTCCTAACAATCTAGCCCTGTGGTTCACTCACTAAAATGTGCCAAAGGGACTGAATATTAGGCACAGTATATATATCAATTTGAGAGGTTTAGAACAGGTAGGCCTTCTCCAATTATAAAATCAATAAAGCAAGGCATTAAAGAATGAAATGATCCATAATCCTTCCATCTTAACTAAGCTACTTCCATTTTTGTATATTTTTGTGTAATTTTTTCATATGAGTACATATTTTACATAGTTTAAAGTTATATAATTATCTTTTTCCATAATCCTTCCATCTTAACTAAGCTACTTCCATTTTTGTATATTCTTGTGTAATTTTTTCATATGAGTACATATTTTACATAGTTTAAAGTTATATAATTATCTTTTTCATTTATTATTAGGCTATTATTATAGCTGTATAGTTCTGAAAATTATCTTCAGTGAATGAATAATGTCCCTTTGACTTTATGTATCAAACTATTCCCCACTGGTAGCTATTTAGATGGGTTTTCAATTTTTATATGAAAGATGACTTTTTCAAGGAACATCTTAGTGCAAAAAACTATTTCTTCATCATTTTCTTTTTTCATAAATTTAATAGTCCAGTTGCATAATACTGCAACTTACATGCCTGATGGGCATCCCTAACAAAATTTATTCTTAGTAAGCTTTACAATAGCTACTGAAGAATGATTTATGGAAAAAATGAGTAAGAAAGCAGAATTTAAAGAGCATAGTGAGTTAGATAGTGCCCTCAAAATTCCTGTCTCAGAATGTGATCTTATTTACAAATAGGGTCTTTGTATGTGTAATTAGTTAAGGACTGAAATGAGATCATACTGGATTGGAGTGGGCCCCAAATATGATGACTAGTGTTCTATTAAGTAGAAGAGAGGACACACAGAGACAAGGAGAAGTCCATGTGATGATGAAGCCAGAGACTGAAGTGGTGCAGCTACAAGTCAAGGAATGCCAAAGGCTGTTGGGAGCCACAGACTCTAGGAAGAGGCAGGGAAAGATTCTTCCCAAGAGCCCCCAGAGGGAGCACAGCCCTGCCAACCCCTTGGTTTTAGACTTGTAGGCCCCAGAACTATGAGAGAATAAATATTTGTTGTTTTTATCCACCCAATTTGTGGAAAATTTTTTATAGCAACCCTAAGGACCTAATACAGAGGGTGAATAAGACAACTACAAATTTGATTAGTAAGAGATTGAGAAAAAAAAATTTTGCTACTTAAATCCTTGGGTACACATATTTCATACAAAGTCATGTGCTTCGGCTTACAAGGCAGGCTGTTTCACTGCTACCAAGGGAGAGCCCACCAGCCCCTGGAGACCTCCCAAGTTCTTGCAATGGTTCAACCTTGGGTGAACCCCACCTAGAATCCCAATGGTTTTCTTCCTGTTTTGACTCCACATTTTGTTTTGTACCCCACAGGCGAGCTGACTGAGTTGTTCTTGCAGGCCATCTGTTGTAGGATTATGTGGATGTTGCCTAAATTATACAACAAAAGAAGAGGCTGCACATTTACCCGTTAGTTGGATATATATCATTACTTAAATCTATCCTGAATTACCAATATTAACATTTCTAGAAACTATTGGGGACTTCTGCTGCCAGATCCTGAAATCCTGCCTTGAGTTTTATTTTTTGAAATGTCTTATTTGCAGTTATATATTGCCTTTAAAAAATAATATAGTATAATAATAATGCAATAATGTTCTTGACCAAATTGCAACAAAAATACATAATTTATAAACAAGGTTTGTTCAAATTAAATCCCATGGGACAAAAAGAGATTATGAAAGGACCAAATGCATTGGACAAGGTTAAAGTTAGCAGGGAATTTGAAATGTGTGCTTCACTCCTGGCAATTTCAAATAACAGTACTTCTAGGATGTCAAATTTTGTCATGTAGTCACAGGTGCTTACTAGCTAGAGTAATAGATCAATGTGGAATGGTGGCAATTGAATTCCCGGGGCACTTCCACCTTTTTCAGCAAAAGGTTCAGCATTATGGAGCCAAAGCCTGTCTTGGCCTCTTTTAGATTATTTTTCCATTATAACATAGTTTCTCCTCTGGCCAGAGGCATATACACCTAAGACATACAGATAGACGGGTAGATAAGTAAAGTGCTACATATCAAAAAAGGAAATTGAGGGGCCGGCCCGGTGGCGCACTGCTACAGTGCGCCGCTTGGGAGCACAGCGGCGCGCCCGCCCGAGGGTTCGGAGCCCACATACAGACCGGTTCCCACTCACTGGCTGAGCGAGGTGCGGGGGCAACACCGAGGGTTGCGATCCCGTTGCCGGTCCCGGTCCGGTACGGGCGCGACACTGAGGGTTGCGATCCATTGCCGGTCACGAAAAAAGACACAACAGGGAAAAAAAAAAAAAAAGGAAATTGAGGGGCCGGCCCGGTGGCGCACTGCTACAGTGCGCCGCTTGGGAGCACAGCGGCGCGCCCGCCCGAGGGTTCGGAGCCCACATACAGACCGGTTCCCACTCACTGGCTGAGCGAGGTGCGGGGGCAACACCGAGGGTTGCGATCCCGTTGCCGGTCCCGGTCCGGTACGGGCGCGACACTGAGGGTTGCGATCCATTGCCGGTCACGAAAAAAGACACAACAGGGAAAAAAAAAAAAAAAAAAAAAAAAGGAAATTGATTTTTAATAACCACATTTAAAACAATGTGTAACCAGAGAATGAGAAGGTATACCTCACATTTCTCACACCTATATACTTGTATAACTCTATTTCGAAATATTATTTATTTTTTCCTTGCCTCAGCACAGGAAAAAAAAAGTAGTTAAATAAATCTAGCATATTCTTGGCCAAAGTTTTGTGTGTTCAAGTAAACCTTGTATCTTTCTTTGGTGCCAATATGACATTTCACTGGGCATTTTTCCTCTTATTGGGGGTACACTGTGGCTGGTTATATCCCATTTAGTTTAGCAACAGGAAAAACCACTGTGACAAGAATTAATTTTAAATGCTGGTCATTATTCATTGGCAGGTAAATATGCCTGTCTAGAGACTAGCCACATTGTACATGTAACAGGGCAAAGATGTATGCACACCAATTTCTGACTCTACAGTACCCACAGGGTGAGCTAAAATAGCCTACATACTTGGACTCCACGACATGGGCTCTGGAACCTTTCTTTTTGAAAAGAAACCAGTTTGCTTTATCTCATTTACCTCCTCCTTCTAGATTTAACCGAGGCTTTCTGTATTTGTATTTTTTAAAAATACCATCTATTTTTGGGTTTAGTGACAGTTCCAAAAAGCAAGTCTCTCCTAGTGATGATTTTCCTCCCCTCCTTCTAGCCCTTGCCTCCTCACTTCTATATAGACTTGTAAACATCAATTTAAGCATTTCTAAAAACTGACATGAAGTTAGTGATTCCTTAGTACAGACTTCCAGACACTTACTGACTTTTCAGGAGAACTTGGTTTTTGTTGGTTTGTTTAACCACTGCTGTTCAAGGCATTTGGGAGCCTCAGTTGTGAGGACCAACCACGGCACCTAGACTCCCCCACCCCACCCCTATGTGGTTGCTCCGGACCAGGGTCCCCACTCTACTTTTTCTAAGTTATCAAGAAGCAGAGGCAGAAGAAAAATACATGTTCCCTTATTGGCTGCTAAGTGGTGCTAATAAACATCAATAAATCCCATAACTACAATTTTAGACTAGCTCTTTCAGCTTCTACCAAATGATTAAGCATTTCCTAAAATGCTTTTCCTAGAATGCTAGAGGTAGAGTAGGTGCTCAGGGCAACAGGATCCTGAGGACAAATCAGACTGGGAAACACCCAAGCCCTTCCCCTCTTTGCAGGCATTTACGGGGCATCTCAGGGAACTGCACAATAAGAAGCCTGGTTAAATTTGCTGAGTCTAGTAATTTCCAATGTGTTTCACCATAATCCATCCCACGCCCTTCCCCTCCAGAGCTTGTCTTGTAATTCTACCTAATATTTTCTGCAGTTAAGAAAAGGCCATAAAAATGGATTTCACTGCTGGTATCCAAATGGACTTTTCAACAAATATTTAATGGAGATCATGGCACTTTAGCATCCACAAAGGAGAGGATAAAATGGAACAACTTTAAATTGCATCAGGACGTCCTGATATTATACCCCAGGAATGGCATTTTAATTAAGGATGTTCTTCCTCTGGAAGTATCTGATGTAAGAAACAGCCAACTATCTTCATAAAGTGGTTAGAAAGCAACCCCATTATGACCCTGGGTGGTGAGAACAAGAAACACTTCCCCCATCCCCCACCCCCATGACATATCTTTAATTGTGGAGGATCCTAACATTTATAAAGCAAATGTATTTCACAGGGCCTAGCTTCCAAAGCCCAGTTTCAGGTATAGCCTAACTTTTAAAAATTACACATAGAAATATTAAGCTTGCAAAAGACAGGAAACTTTCCCCAGGCTAAAGTCTCTGTTGTAGATAAAGAATTGTAACACAGCAAAATTGCTGGCTCCAAGGGCAGATGTCCTTGGTGCAACCAAACCTAATGATTGTTGCCATGACAATTATCTTACTGTTCTTTTGTAACTACCTATGTTCCTTTTCTGTAACTTTCCTGCCTGAAGAATAAATACAGAGAGACGACCAGAGTTCAGTGTTAATTTTCTGAGGAGGAATGCCTCTCTCTTGAGGGTTCCTGGAAATTAACCCCTTCAGGGCTTCTCACTGCTCAGAAGAAATGGGCTTTGAGTAATCCTTTGCATCTCCATCACCCTGGGGGAGAGGTGACATTTAATCTTATGGGAGACCAGAAAGGGAAATGGGCAAATAAACAAAGGGTCATTCCTCTTTGCTTGGGTAAAATAGCATAGATGCAGAAAAAAGAGATGAAATCTACAGTTACAGAAGCAATGATAAGCACTTATCACTGAAGTGCTGAGAGGAATGAAGTGCTGAGAGGCCCATGAAACACAGCTCCTAGTGACATTTAAACACAATGCTGATGCCCCATCTGTTCCAGAAGTGTAGACTCAACTCTCTTATTTGCTTTCCTCCCTACCACTTAGTAACAATAGAAGGAATACAAAAGAAAACCCACCCAAAGCAACAGAGGGGTGGGAAAAAAGAAATACCAACACATTTAATTGTCATTAGCCCTGGAACTCTTTCCTGTCACCAGGAGCAGTGGCTAGCAGTGATAAAGCTATGCAATGAGCAACACCATCATCAGTGGTGTTTGCACCTACAGATAAAGCAGCAAAGTCAAGCCCAGTAGTCCCAGTCTCTGGATTTGACAAAGGACAAATGTCACTTAGCCCCCAACCTACTACTTCTATATCGTGTATGAGTCTGGGAGTAAAAGAGAGAACTGCTTCTCTTTACGTAATATTGAAAAAATTAAATTGAGGCTTTTTGATTCATTCTCAGTCATCTCTCTCCTATATGTAACCATTTTTTTCAAGTCAAAATTTAGTATCCAACAGTTTAGAGATTTCATTGCTGTTTTTCAGCCTGGCCTGCTTAGAAACAGAACTATGAGTTCAGAAGCTCATCTTTGCTCTGTTATTTCTTTGAGTGTTTGGGGAGTTATTATAGTATAGTAATGAGAAGCAACCGCACTGAAATCCCTGCTTCTGCTCCCTGAAGGGCAAGGAAGGGAAACAGGGAACTACTGCAAGTGGAAGAGAAACGGTAGGAATAATGGGCTCGAGACCTAGCTCATGCTGGGAGGGAACTGGGCAGCCCAGAGTCCAAAGTCTCTAAAGACCACCAGAGGCAAGGGGGTAGACTAATTATGAACAATTGCAAAAGAAGCAAATGTTCTCAGCAGTGGGATTCATTATCATATGATGACCTCACAGAACAGGATCCCAATAAATAGGTGACCAGAAGCTCCTATAAACACCCAAGCCCTACCTAAGGAATCATCTGAACTTGGAAAAGCCTTAGGAACGCTTTTCTTGTTTCTATAAAATGATTTCACCCACCTGACATTACTGACATTTAAAATACATTTAAAAATCACATAGAACACAGAGTTGTTATTACTTAATGACAATCATGGTAATGTTATTAAGTATTAGAACTCTGAAATGTCTTAGTAAGCACAGGATTAAGAGATTTTTCTGAAGATGATGAATTACTTATGACACAATCATTTACTATGGCATTTTACACAAACAAAAGGGTAAGTTAGGGAGAAGAAAATACTATAACCAGTAGATTTTTCTTCAACTTGTTAAAAATTAATAGAAATTTTAAAATTAATGGACGGGTTTCTGTGGGTGGGCATTGTTCCAAGGGCTCATCTGATCCTCACCTATGAGGAGGGGACCATTGTTATGCCGTGCTGCAATGAGAACACTGAAAGGTGAAATGGTATGCATAAGTCATTGGAAGTCAGACGGCCAGTATCAGTGTTCTTATGTACCTGCTAGGTGGCCGCAAAGAAACAGCATGCTGTTAGCCAGAAACAGACAGTTTTTGAATCCCCAACCATTACTTACATAGTAATTTATCTAGATGTCAAAATGTACTTGAGACCACTTTGGAAATTATTAGAGAGATCTTTCAAGGAAATTAAAATTTGATTTAAAAAATTGCCTAAGAAAAAGAGGAACAACCCAATTTTTAAAAAAAGATAAAAAACAAAGAATTCTAGAGGGGATTTTTTAGGAAAAGGAATACAAGTGGCCAAGAGACATATGAAAATATGTTCAATCTGATTCATAATTATAAATATGCAAATTGAAATGATGAGGTCCCATTTCCACCATTACTGACAAAAATTAAGAACTTTTTAGAAGCCAAAATTGCTATTGTGAGTGAGAATGTGCAGCCTATGAATAATGTGTGAGAGCACATATAGATCCACCCTAAAAGGCTAGATAGAGACAGTGGTATAGCCACATAATGGAATATTATACAATCTTTAAAAAGAATAAAAAAGCCTTTTATGAACAGACATGAAATGTTCTCCATGATATACTATTCCTTTTTGTTAAATTTAAAAACATGTGTATATACACACACATGTATATGTGTATATATAAATACACACATATACACACACTTTATATTTATGTATGTATGTATTTAGATATATATACCTATATATGCATTATGTTTTATAACCTGTTGTTTTAAGACATTCATTTTATTTTACATTAAATTACATTACAATAGTCCCCCCTTATTCGTGGTTTTGCTTTCCACAGTTTCAGTTACCCACAGTCTATTGTGGACTGAAAATATTAAATAAAAACTTTCAAAAGTAAACAATTTATAAGTTTTAAATTGCACGTTGTTCTGTTTAGCTTGATGAGATCTTGCGCCGCTGTCCAGTTCCATCATACCTGGGCCATGAATAATCCCTTTGTCCAGCATATCCATGTGGCATACACTCCCCACCTGTTAGTCACTTACCTGTTTCAGTTATCAAATTGAACAAATATATACGGTTCGGTACCATCCACAATTTCAGGCATTCAGTGAGGGTCTTGGAATGCATCCCCACTAGGTAAGGATGAACTACTGTATAAGACATTACTTTATTTAAAAATGTTATCAAGAATTATCTAGGGCCGGCCCCGTGGCTCACTCGGGAGAGTGCAGCGCTGGTAGCGCTGAGAGCGCAGGTTTGGATCCTATATAGGGATGGCCGGTGCACTCACTGGCTGAGCGCGGTGCAGATCACACCATGCCGGGGGTTGCTATCCCCTTACCGGTCAGAAAAAAAACAAAAAAAAAGAATTATCTAGATAGCAGGCTTACAGGAAGGGTTGCTTTAATTTTCTTTATTCACTTCTGAGTTTGAAACAAATATTGATTTAAAACTTTTCTCTACTTGTTATTTTCATATTACCTTACAAATACAATTAAATTTGTTCTTTAAAATCTGATTAAAGAAATTAATAATTATTAGTATTTGGTGAACTATAAGAGTTGGGACTTAATCATATTAACATGATTAAGACATAGCAGGGCTTACTGGATCCAAACTTGGGGAGTGATTTTGGACAATCTGTCCCACCTTGGAAGAAGATATAATTTGCCAAATTATTTAGTGCCCTGAAAATGTGAATATTTTCTTTAAGGTGCCAAAATTATTCAATAAGAACCCTTGAGGGTAAGCTACATGACTTTTTCCATTTTACATCTTTTACACAGGCCATTCATTAAGTAGGTACTAAACAATAATGGTTGAATAAATCTTTTCCTGTGAGGAAAAAAACATATTTTTTAAATGAACACATCAATAAAACACTATTTTTCCTGATTAAACTAGTAAATGTTAAAAAAAATTATATCTCAAACATTGCTGATGGGTTATTTCACAATCTGTATCTAAAGCTTTCAATACATACATATTCCTTTATTCAACAAATGCACTTCAAAGAATTCATCTTCAGGAAATGATCATAAATATTTCCAAAGCTTTACATTTAGGGTTCTCAGATGCATGCAATGTTGTTTATAAGAAATAAAAATGGAAATGACCTCAATGTCTATCAATAACTAAATTATAATATACATAAAATGGAATCCTATGTGGCTGATAAAAAGATAAAAATATTTCATATGAGAAAATATTCTCCTTTAAGTGAAAAAAAAGAAATTAGGATTTCAAATAAGTATGCATAATAATATCCAATTTTATTAAAAATGGAATAGAGAAAAGAAACGAGATCAGAAGTAAACAGTAGTCCTCTCTGAGCAGGGGATTTATGGGTGACCCTTATTTTATTCTTTCTGCTGCCAGAATCTCTCTCTGATACATATTTTAGCTACCCTACCATTTACAGAATAAACCTGCTATACATACCTGTGGACCAAAGTAACGAAGACACATTATCTTTCTTTAGCTAAATAAACATCTGATGACATATACTGACAACGTCCTTTCTTTTTCCTAGGAAATGCTGGAGAGTGATTGTGCAGTTTCACTTTGAACTTGTTCCTACAGAATCAACTGAAAACATCTATATTCTGGGAAACATGAACTCTATAGATTTCCTACCCCACTGGTTCAGCACATAATCACTCAGAGCCAAATGCAGGTTAGTTTAACAGATAAAATATGAACATATCATATAAGTGAAGAGGCTGTACAGAAGATCAGAAATTTAGAAAAAGACAGTTCTGGTTGTGTTTTTTTGTCATCTTCAGGTAAGACCTGTAAACCTCATAATGTCTTCCCTAGGTTTCTTCGCATATAAAAGAGATGACCAGATAATTCTGAATAAACTGTCTTTGAATGTCAAATCTGAGATTGACATCCACTGCAGAATCCCGTCAATGTTAACACACAGTACAGAAATGTCAAATTCTTCTGATAAAAAGTAAGCAACCACAATGACATGCTAAAAAAGAACACTTGCAGGACTATTACTAAAGATATTAATTTGGATCCATACTTAAATGTCGACACTGGTAATAAACTGCATTATAAATTCCGATATTTCTTCAGCACAGATCTACATATCGCCCACATCCCTTCTGAACAATTTCACATTTTTAGACTCTTTATGTAAAGTGCTTGGCACAAAGTTCAGCAAACAATTTCGTTCCCTTTTCTGTTCGAATGGCTTATTGCCCAGGAATGAATTGCAGAGTTTCACTTGAAATTTAACTCATGCAGAGACAAAACTTTTAAATCTTCCACCACGTGGGTTTATACAACTATTTCTAAAATGTATTAGGTATTTATTTCATGCTCCCTGCTTCCTAAGCTACAGTATGTGGAACACGATTTAATACATGGGCTGATGCCCGGTGGCCATCCCTGTGCTGCAGTGCAGGCAGGTGTCTGGTTTGCACATGCTGCAGCTGCTGAACATGCTTACAGTCTGCGATCTCCTTTTCTGATCCACTTACCCAGTCCCACAGCACCCCCTCCAGCCTGCTTTATGGGTTCTTCTGTTACTGGATGTTGTAGCTGCTAACGTGCTTGTTTTTATGAAAAATGAAGAGAAAGGAAGACAGAGTCTTTACTTTGCATTTTGTGACTGAAAAATCCTCATAGTTTAATTTACTTTTTGAACCTGTAATCAGGTTGTTAAAGTTGAGGATTAATTGCAGAAAATCTGCCTTCCAGAGAAGTATAAGTTACTAAAAACAAAAAATAAAATAACACCATATTCAACACAAAAAAATAGTGATGTGTTTCCAGTATACCGCAGGAATTATATCTGTATCTACAGACACACACCCCACCAACACCCATGTGCATACACATTTTTGAGCCTTGCTGTCTGCAGACACACACCCCACCAACACCCATGTGCATACACATATTTGAGCCTTGCTATATCACATACTATAAAGATGAGGTCTTGACAAGAATGCTGTGGAGGAAATCTACAGACACACACCCCACCAACACCCATGTGCATACACATTTTTGAGCCTTGCTATATCACATACTATAAAGATGAGGTCTTGACAAGAATGCTGTGGAGGAAGGTAGTATAATCTTTACTTCCCACGTGAGGAAATGAGGGGTTTGAGAGGATACATCATGATCCCAAAGTCACCCAGCCAGCAGTGGAGAGTTAGGATTTGAGTCCTTCATCAATTTGATGCAGTCACTCTGCCATACCGTTTTCTTATGGTTCGACAGATGAGAATATAGGGGATCTTTGTTTTCTTTTAATGTTCTTGGCTTAGGTGGGGGTTATAAAAAGTTGATATGTTTGGGTGTAAGCAAAATCCTATGACTTAATTTAGCTTTTGATTTCTTCTATTGAGTCCCTTAAAGCCAATGCGGATTGATAACTGGGATTTTTTATGATATTGAACTCCCTTGTGGATTTGGAAGACAATTCAGGAATGTTGATAGTTGAGATCAATTTAAATCTTTTAGTGATACAAATTGATAACACTTCTATGGTTTCACACTTCTAGTGTCTTTTCCCCACTTTGATTGCCAGTATAAAATACATCCTGTACAAAACATACTTGTAAAAATTGATAAACAACATAAGATTATAGTATTTTAAAATAAGAAAGGACTTGAAAGATAATTGAGCCTTGCTCTCTCATTTCCCATTATGAAACCTGAAGTTACTATTTATCCTTAATTTCTTCAAGGCTACTAGTGTTTGCAGCACTGGCAGGAAAAGACATTATTATTATTATTTTAAGTATGGGCAAATGTTTTATTATCTTGTAATTTAGAACAAAATTTATATCACGTAATAACTTCGTATAGCATACATTATACGAAGTTATACGACTAAAGTCTCTGTTGTAGATAAAGAATTGTAGAAACTGTCTAATCAAAAATGTTAAATGAAATGGATGTTAACGATTACTACTCCAACCCGTCATCTTTCTCTGTCCCTACCCATAGAATCGGTGAGAAAGAGGAGACCCTGAGAAATAAAGTGACTTTCCTTAATCTTGGAGATTGTCAGTCACAGAGTGGGACCTGGGAATTAGGGATCCTGACTCCTAATCCTGTGGCCTGTCTACTACCTGGGCTGCGTCTGACATCCAGCTCTGCCTGCTTTTAAGAATATAGGGAGTGTATTTGAAGAAATACTTCGTGTATAAAAGACAATTGATAGGTAAATTGGGATTCTCCTTGTTTCCTGTACTCCTCAGTTTTCAACACATTTTGGGATATTAAACAGAGTAATATGGGGCAGCTCGAAATATTAATACACTTTGATCCCAAGACATCTACTCCTGCCAGTAAGATGGGTTGGCTATTTACAACTGGAAGTTATGATTTAATTCCAACTTCGTGAAGATGAGGAGGAGATATCACGCTACAATTCAGTCAACGTGCCTCACTCGTGTTCCTCACGCAGTGAACAGGGGGCTTAGGCTTTGCCACCTTTACCTTGGGAGATTAGTGCAAAATAAAACAAAAACAACCATAACAACTAGAAAGAAAACAAAGCTAAAGAACTTGATATCAATGAAAGGCAATTTGACTTCTGACGAACAGGGAAGGATACAGAATTGCCATCTTGTTTCTGGAGCCAGAAATATTACATATAAAAATCAAGATGGGTATTTTGTTACTCAGCAAAAACAAAGAAGGCCTGAGTCAACTTTCAGATTTTCTAAGAATGTGTGGTGTGAGGGGGCTGCTCATTATGCCAAAGAACACTAGCCATACCAGCAACAGATCGAGCTATGACAAATTGGAAAAGCCAGGGAAGAAAAAGAAGACAAATCACAGCTGTGTAAGCGATTTACACCACATCCTCACAAAAGTGGAGAGAGTGATGTCGGGGGTGGTGTGGTAATGGTATTCACATCACAGGGGAAACCTACGTTTCAAAATGGCTTGTCTTATCAAACCTACGTTGATCTCCCTTAATTTGGTTTCTGTAAGCCAGTTACTCTATTCTGAAAAGGATAATCCCTATTTTGTTAAGAAGCCAATTATCTGTGTCTCATGACAAACAAACGGAGCAGAACCACCTAGAAAATCTGTGCCTAAAGGAGCAGCAAGAAATCATTTTGGCCAAGAAAAGGAGAAAAATGGACATTCTTGGAAACAGCACTGCCAATGTGTGGATTTTTCAATGCATCTTCAATTGACAAAAGAGAAACGAAGGGGAAAATGATTAAGAGATTAAAAACTGAATATTAGAGAGAATGCTGATTGCTTTTAGGATCCAGCATACAGTACTGGGAGAAAAGGGTAAGACACCAGAAACAGTCCATGAAGCACAGAATCTGGAAGTAACAACAGGTGCTGCACTTTTCTGGAGGGACAAGGAAATACTGACTCATTCCTGTAATGACATTTATTGACCTCAGTTTGGTGTGCAGCATTTTATCTGACCTCTTGGCTAAAGGAACAGTGCAAGCTACCAGCTACTGCCAGGGCAGGGAAGAACTCACTATGTAGGATGGTGTCCACAATAGAGGACATAATCTAAGTGCATACTACTTACTGCAAACCTGGAGCTTGGGCTTTGCCATGTAGAAGTTGGGCTCCTCCAAGGATGAAAGCAGGACCAAAACCAACCAGTGCAAACAGAAACAACAATCGTATAATAGCTACTGAAGTCATCCATCAGAAGAGGGGGAAAAGAGCCATTGCGAGTTGAGTGACTGTCCCCCTATCACGTAGTGTCTATGCACTAAAACACAGCCCCGAGTTAGCAGAGTGAGTTGGAGACACTGAAAATGTCCTACCTTCCGAAACACAAATGATTCTTCATTGTAAACTGGATTGAGTCCATTATTCATAACCATGCGAGTTCGGAATTCCTTACGTATGGTGTCAGTTGGCAGTCCGTACATATCCACTTCTACATACGTGCCAATTTTCTTATCTGATAAAAATTGACCTGATATGACCTGCAGCAACACAGAAACAGGGCGAGAGAGAAGTGTAATCATCAGAATAATCAGGAAGTAAGAAATTCTGTTTATTGGGGGAATTTCAATTATCTGGGGAAATAATGTATTTATTTCCTTTTAAACCAAAATATTATTGAGCAACTACTATATATAAAAAAAAATTGTTCTAGGCAGAGGTTCTACCTTCTAGAACTGTCTAGAAAAAGAACAAGAAAAAATATACTTGAATCATATAATGAAAAGAAATAGTGTTTACAGCATCTTCATCTCACCTAAGTGCCTGCACTTATAAAATAAAATGATGAATTCAGACCTAAGATCCCTTCATAGCTGTGAAATTCTATCACATGGTACTTATTACTGAATTATTTTAAAAGCCTGAGAAAGAGACACACAGTAAGGAAAGGAATGCTAGAATTTGCCAGTTATTCTTTATTGACGCTGACATTCATCAGCTATGACAGTGTTATATATTTGCAAAGACCAGTGTTAAATTATATCTACTATAAAGCTATGGAAAGACTATTTTTCGTTTTCTTTCCAAATGACTATAGCAATTTATTAGTTTTTTCACAATATCTAATAGCTAATAATTTTGAAACAACTTTTTTGAGGTACAATCAATACACAATAAAGTGTACATATTTAAAGTGTACAGTTAGGTCAGTTTTGATATAAGAGCACATCTGTGAAGCTATCACTACAGTTAAGGTAATAAATGTTTCCATCTTCCCCCAAAGTTTCTTTATGCCCTTTTACACATCCATCCCTCTTTCCATTTCTCTCTAGAGGCAACCATTGATTGACTATCCGTCACTATAGCTTGCCTTTTGTAGAATTTCGTATAAATTGAATCATATAGTAGGTACGTTTTTGATGATGTCTTTCATCAAAATAGCTAATAACTTTATGAGTGACATAAAAGTATCTCATAAGAAAAAAGGGCATTTAAAGTCAAAGTTGAGAGCAACACAAGGATCTTTCAATCTGACGTTAAATGTTTTATAGTGATTTCTTTCCAGGATCACTTGCATTCACATTTCTACTACTCCATGAGGAGGAAGGCCCTCACCTGCACTGAGCACGTAGCTGCAATAACCCCGTCAACAGGCGTCTCAGAGAAGGGATCAAATGTTCGATCAGGCCGCCTCATGAAATCTGGTTTGAGAAGGTACCTGACAGAACAAAAGCATAGGAGGAGTTTATTTTACTAAAGACTAAAATAGCTTTTACAAAGACTAAAATACTCAGTATCTGAATCACTGAATACTTCCTTTTCCCCATCTGTGATTTAGTAGGTAGGCTTTTAGGCATAGGGTCCTAAGGATTGAAGAGAATGTGCCTGCCCTTTTGGATAATCCTAAAGAGCATCAGTGAAGAAAGAACGTTCTCTCAATTCCAGGATCAGTGACACTAGTACTTCCTGATACTGTCATATTTTCTTGAGCTTTTTTTGTGCCATGGTCTCCTTTAGAGATGTCCTCTTATATGCATAAAATGAAGTATAAACAAAAACAATGAAAAATCAATTACATTAGCAATAGTTATCAAAATACAGAATATACATGTAATATTCTAAATATTTATTAATTATCATTTTATTAATTCATTAAATCATGAGATTTAATGGTAAATCTGATGATGACCATAACTTCAAAGTACTAATGTGCATAAAAATATTTTGACAGATCTAAAACAGAAGTAATGAAATATGAAAGTGTCTTTGATTTATATTGGTGAGAGTCACAGGCACCCCTAATATTACTGTGAATTACTGTTTACATTCATAATTTTAAAAATGTAAAATTTCAGTTATAGGTAGGTGAAAATAAAGGCTGATTATTTCCAGATTTCTAGTAAAGGCGATTAGGCAAAAAAATATATACATAAAACAAGACATCAGATTGTAAAGAAAGAAGTATAAATATTTTAAATCACAGATACCATATCTTATACACAGAAAAGGAATCCACTAAAAAACTTAAATCCACTAAATCTTAAGGAATCCACTAAAAAACTATTAGAACTAATAAATGAATTCAGCATAATTGCAGAATACAAGATCAATATATAAAAATTAAATTGTATTTCTATACACCAGCAATAAACAATCCAAAAATGAAATTAAGAAAAAAATTCCACTTATAATAGCATTAAACAGAATAAAGCATTTTGAAATAAATTTAAAAAATATAAGCGCTACACTATAAACACTACAAAACATTGGTGAAAAAAATTAAAGATCTAAATAAATGAAAAGACATCTTGTATTCATGGGTTGGAATACAATTGTTAAGATGGCAATACTTTCCAAATTAATATACAAATTTATTGTAACCCCTATAAAAATCCCAACTGGCTTCTTTGTAGATATTGACAAGCTGATCCTAAAATTTACATGGAAACTTAACAGACTAAGAATAGCCAAAACAATCTTGAAATATAAGAACGAAGTTGGAGGTCTCACACTTCAATTTCAAAACTTATTACAAAGCAACAGCAATCAAGATGGTCTAGTACTAGCATAAGGATAGACATATAAATCAATGAGATAGAATTGAAAGTCCAGAAATAAATCCATGTATCTAGGGTCAATTGACTTTTGGCAGAATGCCAAGAACATTCAATTGGTTAAACAACAGTCTTTTAAAAAATGGTGCTAGAACAACTGGATGGCCTCATGCAAACAAAACAAAACAAAACAAACAAAAAACTGACCCTTATGTCATACGATATACAAAAATAAACTCAAAACATCACAGAACTAAATGTAAGAGCCCAACCTATAAAATTCCTAAAAGAAAACATAGGGACAAATCTTCATGACTTTGGACTTGGCAATTGATTCTTAGATGTAATATCAAAAGCACAAGCAACAAGAGAAAAAATAGACAAATTGGACTTTCTCATAAAAACTTTGTGTTTCAAAGGACACTATCAAGGAAGTGAAAACACAAGCCACAGAACGGGAGAAAATATTTGCAAATCATATATCTGGTAAGAAGCTTGTATCCAGAATAAATAAATAACAACCCAGTTTAAAAGATGGGCAAATAATCTGAATAGACATTTCTCCAAATAAGATAAACAGCCAATAAGCACATGAAAAGATTCTTAACATTAGTCAGTAGAGAAATGTGAATCAAAACCATAGGTACCACACACACACACACACACACACACACACACACACACACACACACACACACACACAGTCTCTCTCTAGGATAGCTTTAATCAAAAAGTCAGATAACTGTAAGTGTTGACAAGGATGTGGAAAAAGTGGAACCTTCATACATTGCTGGTAAAAGTGTATCCACTTTGAAAAACAGTCTGGCAGTTCTTCAAAGAGGTAAACATAGTTACCATATGATCCAGCAATTCCACTCTTATGTACGTACAGACACCATACAAATGAAAAAAACCATCCACACAAAACTTGCACACAAACGTTCACAGCAGCATTAATCATAATAACCAAAAGATGGAAATAACCCAAATGTCCACTGATGGATGAATGGATACACAACATATGGTATATCCATACAATGGAAAGTTATTCTGCAATAAAAAGTAATGAAGTACTGGTAGGTGCTACAACATGAATGAACCTTGAAAACATTATGCTAAGTGAAAGAAGTCAGTCATAAAAGATCATTATATGAATCTATTTACATGAAATATGTAGAACAGGCAAATATATAGAGACAGAGAATGATCAGTGGTTTCTTAAGGCTGGAGGCAGGAGGTACTTGAGATGATAGCTAAAGGATATGGATTTTCTTTTGGAGGTGATGGAAATGTTCTGCAATGTACCCCAACTACACAATGTCTGTCCCTTATACCCACTGGGCAGTAGTGGTCATGTAATCACACCTTGGCCAGATTCCATAACTTCCCTGAAACTGGTGTAAAAAGTCTTCATCTCTCTAAAAAAAATAAAAACCCATTTTTTTTTTATTTATGAGAATTGAGTATAACCAGAGATAGAAAAAAATCCACAATAATATGAGCAGTATATAAAGGAAAATAAAAGCACTTCTTACAAAACTATAGGTTTTTAAAAAATTTATTTACTAAATAAATAAATTTGCCTCCAATATTTATTTATTTAAATGTTTTGTTTTGTTTTGTTTTGTTGGTTATGAATATTCATAGGGTACAAAGAAAATTGTCACCACTTGTGCCTAAGATGTAATGGTCAGATCCATACTGGCAGCATGTAAAATAATTAAAATTGAGGGGAATAAAAGTTCTCTCTTTATGACTATAACTTTCAGGAATTTTGAGTCTAGATGATGTCAAATTTATTATTATCTTTTAAAACACAACCAAAAAGGGATCCTGAGGCATGATATTTTTCCTTAAAGGAAAGTTTAATGGCCTGTGTTCTAGTTGTGACAAAATTACCATTCATTGTTTTCGAAGTCTGAACAGAAACAAATTATTTAAAAAGTAACCTCACATTTGATAACCCCAGAAAGTATCCTGAAGGACGACACTGGTTATTGGATCACGTATAGAGTTTCCAGAATTTTTCAAATATTAAAGATGATTTTGAACATTCTTCTGTCTCCAAGAGAATGAAACTCAAAATATTAATACAAAAGCTACCTAACATGTAGAAGAGATTGTTTTCTCTATTCAGAGTTTTAAGATTTGGGGTTTTTTTTGTGGCTCGTGTTAGCGACAGGATTAGAAAATATGATAATACAGCAGAAGCTGAAGAGTTAGGATGGAAGGTAGATGGGTAGCTATGGTATGACGCACACTTCTCTAATGGAAGCCCACCAGCCTTGCTGGGCGGGGTGACTGGCGTAGACCATGAAGGGAGGTCATGAAGGGTGTTCTGGCTTTCACAGAGGGCAGCATGTGGATTCTAGCTGCGTGAAGTGAGGGATTCTGCCTCCTGAGGGAGGCAGGGACTCTGGGATGCATACAGCACCGGAGTCGTCTTTCCAGGGCAGTCTCCTGGAGCAGTTGCTGTACAGAGACGCAGCATGCCCCATTCCCCCCGCCATTTCTTCAGGGACAGGAGCCCTTTCTCACCCACCAAAAAATGAGGAACATGATACTGAAGATGTCTCAGTGTCAAAACATCCTTCATAGTCCTTCCTTTCGGATCTGCTTAGAAGAAAACTACTGTGTGAAAGAAGGAATTGATCCGAACTAGAAATGTCACCAGAAAAGGGCAAGAAACCTAACCCAATTCTCCAAAGCAGGCAGGCTTCGGGCTTCAGTGAAATGAGTTCATTTTGTTTACTCAAAAAGAATAAAACAGAGTATGTAGAAGTTCGACAGGTCTGGGATACTGGAATAGGACACTCAGCCGGCTTGTCTTTCTTTTTTTTTTAATTGAAACATAATTTATGGTACATATCTATGGGGTATTGCACTGAATATCAACACCTGTATGCAATATCTGATGCTCAAATCAGGTTTAGTACATTCAAAATTACACAATGTAATCATTTTTTGTGGCCTTTCACCAGTTTCTCATAACCCCCCACCCCCCTCCCGGTGGCCTTGGTTCCATTCTCTCCTTTGGAAAGTCCAACGAATTATTCTGATTGTTGTCATTTTCTTTCTTTCTTTCGATCTGAGCTCGAGGCAGCCTCAGGAAGTGGCAGAGGCTGCCACTCACATAACTGGTGGCCGTAAAGGCCCAGGGCCTGGGCACTGACGGGGAGCTGAAGGCGGAGACTGGTGGGTGCTGGTGCTGGTTTCTTGCGTGTGTGCCTTACGCAGCTGCACAGGGCCCTGACCTTGGAACTTAGAAGGGCCTCATGCTAAGTTCCCTGCTCTGCACCACCATTTCAAAATTCTCCAGATTCTCCATATTTCATTTTCATTTTGCATTAGGCCTTGCAAATTATGTAGCCAGTCCTGTCTGGCGCTTTTGGTACAGGAAATGAACTCTTTCCAGGCATCCAGGTCTGTGTGGGGGCCATGGGCGTAGGCCAAAGCCTATGGCAAGGGAGGGACCCAAGGATTATGTGGGCTGGGGCCCGGGCACTGACGGGGAGCTGAAGGCGGAGACTGGTGGGTGCTGGTGCTGGTTTCTTGCGTGTGTGCCTTACGCAGCTGCACAGGGCCCTGACCTTGGAACTTAGAAGGGCCTCATGCTAAGTTCCCTGCTCTGCACCACCATTTCAAAATTCTCCAGATTCTCCATATTTCATTTTCATTTTGCATTAGGCCTTGCAAATTATGTAGCCAGTCCTGTCTGGCGCTTTTGGTACAGGAAATGAACTCTTTCCAGGCATCCAGGTCTGTGTGGGGGCCATGGGCGTAGGCCAAAGCCTATGGCAAGGGAGGGACCCAAGGATTATGTGTGGACTTTGCAGGACCTTGGAAGGCAAAAGAGGGAAAGGGGAAGGGTCTTCAGCCAGGAAGGTGGACAAGATCCACAAGAATTAGAATATGGGGGTCCTAAGGAAGTACATCCTATTTCATCAACCTTTTTAAAAAAATTTTCAGTGCTTATTTTATTTTTAAAATTTTTAAATTTATTTTTTATTAGCATATTCATTGTTACAAATCATACTTATTCTTTATGCCCCTTATCTAATCTCCCCTCTTTACCATCCCTATTTCATCAATCTTAAGATGCCATTGATTGCTAATCACACTATAATTTTTATTTACCAGCAACAAAGCAAAACCGGCTGCTGATTACAACTGTAAGATGCCACGGATTATAAGTCACATTCAAATTTGAGAATGTTATATAAGTGTGCACCTTTGAATTATAAAATATCATGCTATGTCAATATCAATCATCCAATTTCCTATGAAAGCCTGAAAAGATTTATTAGTTTATTCTATTTTGTTTCGTAAGGAATTGGAGAAATGCCTTTCATTTCGCCATCTTTAAACATGAACCTGTTATAAACTACTGCTTACATTCCTGGTAAAACTCACACGTATGAGGTCCAATAGTGTGGCCTCCAAAAAGATCAGCCCACGGGGCAGAGAGGGTATTCCCAGGTGGGTTTCTGATGTTTTGTTACTGTTGCTAGATCCCGGGAGTGTTTGTGTGCTTTGCACACTGGTGTTCTATATAAAACAGCTATTGTTTGCTATGCTGGAACTAAAAGACACAGAATGCCTCTTTACAGAAACACGGCCCTCAGAAACAGCCCACGAGGATTTTTAAAAAGTCCCTGTAGGTGGACGGAAAAATGACAAAGGCAACACAGTGAGAGGCATGCAGTGTCCCAGGACTTTGTGACCTGGACTTTGCGACCTGGACCCGTGCTCCTGCCGCTGGCTCCTGCACCCCAGACCCGTGCTCCTGAGCACCGGCACTGTGCTCCTGCACCCCGGACCCGTGCTCCTGCGCCCCGGCACCGTGCTCCTGCACCCCGGACCCATGCTCCTGCGCCCTATTCTTGCATGTTGCTGGCCCCTGAGGGGCACATTTGCATAGGAGAGGATGATTTCTTCTCTTCTCTGTTGGTGACAGCCTTTGCCTCAAGCTGGCTGTGAGGAAAAAGGAATCAAGGGACACAAAACTGAACAATACCACCAATGCCTCAAGTTGGGCTGTGGCACTGCACGGTCTATTTTTAACCCTCTCTGGTGGCTTGTATGTTTTTGGTCACATGGCCTCAAACTCATCAGCACAGAATTCAGGCTACAGTAGCATCACTGCCCTTTTTTCTGAAGGTATTTCACATTACACGAATGCACTTAAAATGAACAGTAGTGCAGAGTTAGATGCTGACCATACTAACAATGGCAATGCAGAAACTCCTCAAAAGAAATGCAGAACATATAGAACTCTGTTGGGACCTTTTTAATCTAGAAACAGTTCTTCCTGCATCATGACAGTATACCAGGATCCACTGTCGGTGATCCTGAGGTGTGCATAGAAAGTCATTTAAGTACATTGTCACTGAGCCACTTGCAGTGTTCCTAGAAGTGAGCACAGCCAGCCCCGGCAGGTCTTGTGGGAACCACAAGTGCTGCAGCTGCCGCCCAGGCTCCTTTTCTTGGCCGCTGGTGGGTACAGGGATCGAGCCCTAGACCTTGGTGTTATCAGCACCAGCTCTAGCCACCTAAACCAACCAGCCGGCCCCCTAGGCTTCTTAAAGGCCCATTTTCAGCACAGCATTCATTGAATTTTGCATGGTCTCTGTGTGTAACCAGTAACATCTTTAAGCTTTTCTTAAATCTCCCTTTTGCATAGAGATTTGCAGTTCCTAAAGTACTTCCACAAACACTCATTCAACCCTACTGAACTGTCACAACTATTAAAGGAAAAATTTATCCAAAGTAAAGATGGGAAGGCACATTTTATTCAAGGGGGTCATGGTGATAGGTATAGGGCCTCAATTCTGACTCCAATGAGGACAAGTGGGGATTTATTGCCAAGGAGCAGGGTGAAGGGTGAGTGGATGGAAACTTACTAAGGGGAAACATCAAGGATAAGGGGTTTCTGGCTAACCTGACTTGACAGCATTATTGCTAAAGGCAGGCCAGGTGATAAGATATCCAGAGGGGCCAGATACCAAGGGTGGGGGATTTTCCCTAAAACTGACTTAGCAGGATTCTTGGTCAAAACAGATTCTACAAGAATAGAGAGGAAGGGCCAAGGTTGGGCCTAGTGAAAAAGAACTTGGTTATAGTCAAAGGAAAGAGTCTTTGTCAATTCCCCTTCATGTTCAAGGAAAGAGACATTCTTCTTTCCTTTGAACGAAACCCCCATATGGCAGGTGTTACTGTCTTCATTCTATCACGCAGAGAATCAAGGTTCAGAGCCTAACATACCTGCCCAAGGCAGCAGAGCTGGTACTCTAAGAAGCGGGATTCATCCTCAGGTCTGCAGAGGCCGAGCCTCTGGGGCTGAATTCACCGCCTGAGCCCACCACTGGGGGTCTATCAAGCAATTAATGTGCAAAATCTCCTGGTTCTGAACACCTGGCATTAAATAACAAAACAGCTTGAACAAAATTCTGAAATATGTGTTTGGCCTTTTTCTTCCTAATAGTATGATTTCTATCTCTTTCAAAGCACACAGCAGAGGAAGCTGTTGTGTATGCTCAGCTATGCGTGTGGTGGGTGATTCATGTGACAGGGCAGTCACTCACGTGTGTAGTCACACTGGCAGGGAATCAGCCGTCAGGCAGGCAGAGGTAGTGAGTGTGTGCTTTGAAGAATCATTCCTAACCCACAATGGCTAAAAAATTGTATCTTGACCAGCTATCTTCAGTGATGAAAATTAAGACACCCAACCAGAGGAACCACCATGAAATGAAGTACTTCCTTACAGTAGCATTACCGGATGGGACGGATCCATCCACCAGATTAGTCTAGAGGCCTTTGGACTGTGGTCTGGGATTATTTACTTGTAGTGCTGTTTGGGGACAGATGGGTGGGGAAAAAGTGGACACACACCTTTTTCATCTCTATAGAATCCTAACTTTGCATTTCATATAACCTTTTAGCATTTCAGTGGATTAACATTTCCTATTTCACTTCTTGGTTCACAGATTTTAACGAGTGTTATGTAGGTAAACTAGAATGACATTCATTGCATTATTCTTTGATAACTGTTATTACAAGATATACAAAAGGATAAACAGATGACGAAGGTGTATTCCCAACTGAAATAAATTCAATTTGACACCCACAACTTCATTATATATGAAATTAACTTCATTCCTATATTTGTCCTAGGGAAAATACACATATTTAATGTCTGTTTCCAGTTAATGTCCAAATGAGCAGAGATCATTACCTATCCCTGATATAAACATCTCCACTATTAAAGTGAGAGACTTAAATTCTAGAGTGCATATGATAAACTGCTTAACTTCTGGTTAAAAAAAAAATCTTGCTTAGTAAAACGCAGATGTGAAGAATGTATTTGCAAATATAAAATATCTAGGAATTTCATTTGTTTCTAACACATTCCTCAAATCCAGCTTAAATTCAGCAGCCCCTAATTAAAAATGACATGGTTTCATTATAGCTGTAGCATGGAGTTCTGAAACTAGGTGACAATAGTTTAAAACACATTACTCACCCACACGATCCATTATACTCAAATTTTCCCTGATTCAATTGCATCGCTAAATCTGTCAAGAGACAAAAATAATTTAGCATCCTGTCTCCCTGGACAAAGAAGATACTAATGGGGTGATTTTAAGCAATGGAAATCAGATACTGCTCCTAGGCCCAAAGGCCCTTTTTAACACCATGAGATACCACTGGTTCTATTTAAGGCATGAAACTCTCTTCCATGTTGAAATGACCTTGCGGTTAATTTAAATTAAACGTAAAATGTGTTTTCATAAAGATCATGCTAGGATTGCTTTAAAAAGTGGATTCAGTATATATCAGTCATATGATTGTCCAGTTAGTGTTGAGAATAAAGATGTCCAACCTGCTACACAATTGGAGAGCAGGTGCCTCATGATTCCAGAGGAAGGGGACACCAGAGATACCCAGTAGGGCCAGCGTGAATATAACACCCAATAAAAAAAAATAATAAAAAATGAACTAAGTAAGTATCACATAAAAACTGGTGGCTCATTCCCAGTGTGAGACTTTATGGAGAATTCTTCTAGTGAGATCTACACTGGCAGGGCATGGCTTATGATTTTTCTCTTGCACGTGTACACAATCTTCTTTCTTCTCATCAGCAAATGAAATGGGGAAAATGATGGATTTTTTCCTTCTTTTTAAAAATGTTATGGCTAAACCTAACATAGAATAAAACATAGGCTGGCCTGGTGAATAAACTGTGTTATGATCATTTAATCTACAGAACGGACTCACTGACAACCGAGAATACAACTTAATCCCTGTTTAAGTAAATAAAATCAGCAGTGCCTTTTTATTGTATTGGTAACTAGTCTAATCTGGCAAGGACTATGGGGACACCATGCAGAATGATGACCCCAGTGGGAGGTTCTGGTCACTGAGGGGACTCCACCAAGGGGTGGGAAATACAGTCAGCTCAAGCTTATGCCAAAGGGATGAATGTCAGAGGAACTTTCAATCAGTTCAGATAATAGGAACAAAGTGGATGGGAATTCTCAAAGTATGGTGGGTAGACTAGAAAAGGAAAAGGTCCCCAAATTGGGAAACATTAGAAGTACCTTCATACAGCAAAGGACTGAAGAAGAAAGAGTTTTTGTTTTTTTAGGTTTTATTTTGTTTGACCAATTTCAAGAACCATGTAAATTAACTATGTACAGGCAATAGGCTTTGTAGCATGTTTCTATCTATTTTGCTATCTCTCATCTTAACTCTTAAGCAGACCTCAAAAACTTAAAAAATTTGTTTATGCATTTTAAAAAATTCATTCTTCTCCTTTCAGGAAAAAAAAAAGAATCATTATATATTGGAAACCCACTTTTGAATACACTTGGGAAAACCAAGTTATATATTAGTATTTCTAAGAATATATTACTCCTTATACACCATTTTAGTGGAGTTTGCTCCAAAATATTCTGTACTTTTATGGTGAGGTGCCACTGTGTTACTGATATTTGCTGAACATTCATAGTGTTCAGGGTACGTCAAAAGAGAAATGAGTAGTTACTGTATAAAGATATTCAAGGGCCAGCCCGGTGGCGCACTGCTACAGTGCACCGCTTGGGAGTGCGGCGGCACTCCTGCCGAGGGTTCGGATCCCACATACAGACCGGCCGCTCACTGGCTGAGCAAGGTGCGGGCGCAACACCAAGGGTTGCGATCCATTGCCGGTCACGAAAAAAAGACAAAAAGGAAAAAAAAAAAAAGATATTCAAATCCTTCTCACTTAATCCTGCCTCTGGAAATCAAGAAAACAAGTTTGATCCAAAAGGAAGAACAATTAGAAATATTTCAGAATAGGGGATAATGTTTAGTAGAAGAGTCATGGCATTTATGAAAGGAATTTCAATTTAAATCAAAACATTTTATTTTCTACCATTGTTTTACTGCTCTATTTTGGTTTTTTAATTTCTCACCATTATATAAATACAACACATTGTTTTGCCATATGTCTGCCTCCCTTAAAAAATGCCCACAGACAACTGATGGCAACTGCTTTGCACCATCCTGTCAAAGCGTTCTCATGGAATTCGGGGTCACTGGACATCAGTTCCTACCTGGGGTTTGATAGTTCAGTGAAACCATCTGGCAGCCAGCGTTCCAGAAAATCTGAGGCATGTAATTACTGGAATCTACTCGGCCTCCCTTGGGGTAAATGCGACTCATTTGCCGTTTGTTATAACTGTGTAATTTATTAAGGAAAACAGAAAAAAGTGTTCTACAGCAGAGATAAATAAACAGAGCTAAAACAAAGGTCTAGGCCAACAATGACAAACATGTAGACAGCACAGAGCAAATTTCACATTTATAAATGATTAAGAGAAAAAAATCACAATTCATGTGTGGGTTATAAAAACAATTCACATTTGGGCAGATTGTCGCTGCTGCCATGATCTTTCACACATATTCTATTAGCTCTACAACCTTATTTATATATTAGCCATTAATCTATTTCAGACTCCTGCCAAACCAAAAGCACACTCACTCCACCTGATACATTAGGATACTTTACAAATTCAATCGCATGTGTCTTCAAGTAGCCAAGACCCACCGATTCATTAAAAGAAGACATGTTGTAATGAATGTTGCGTTCTGTAAAAGAAAAGCAAAGATGCACTCAGAAACCCTGCCATCAAACCCTCACAGAAAGACAAGCAATAAACATAATTACATCCTGAATCACTAGGCTTTGGAGGCCAATGTTACATTATCCTGTCAGTAGCTCCTGTTTCATTAACATCCTGTGGATGGAGACTGCTGACTTTAAAAAAAAAAAGTGTGCTCGATTAAATTTGAAATCCCTAAACAAATTATGTGTACCCCAATTGCCATGGCCACCCTTGAAATATGTATTTTTGATGATGATGATGATGGCTTCTCACCCCAGAAATGATTATGAAAGGTTTTTAAAAACTTCATGTTTTTGAAGACAGGCTTTTGATTAAAAGAAGTATTCTAAAAGCACGCAGAGCACTAACAAATCCATAGTCTCTAGAGCCCCCCAGTGGATGATGTGGGGAATGACAATGCAATGTCACCGCATGCCAAGGACACGTGGCTGTTATGGTCTGTGAAACAAAAATAAGGTGAGGTGGAACTGTCCCCATGCCCAGAAAAGAAAATGGCAACAAGCCAGATCAGAGCTCATCAGCACAATAAAAGAAAAGCAGACAAAAAAGGCTATTGCATTTAACCTTTGGGGTTACCTTCAGCCACATGGAAACCTTGAAACTTTACGGGCTGTGCGTAGTTGATCATTGTGGACAAATACGGGTGGATATTAGTGGTAGCACCTACATATTTATAAGATGCCATCCACGCCTGTTCATCTTCTACAGTGACCAGGCCCTACAAGCACAATGAAGAGAACGTGCATGTCGATGACTTCAGCGGGACTCAGATACATGCTGCAAACTTCCTTACTAAAGATCATTTGACACATAAAACGAAAGGACAAGAGATTTTGTTTCCTCCATTATGCTAAAGGATAATTTAAAAAGTTAATGACTATTCTAGTTCCAAATAATGCAAAAGGAGGTAATTATAAAATATTAAGCTTATTCTTACATTTTTAAGACATCTCTCGATTTGCAAAGGACTTCAAAATATTTAAGAAACCGTATTGGGCCTCTCATATGTACAGCAAGTATTATCATTCATATTTTCACAATTTGAGGCATAAAGGCAAAAACGTGACTCTAAAACGTTAGTGTGCATTAGAGTCACCTGCAGTGCTTGTTAAAACACAGATTCCTAGGCCCCAGCTTCAGAGTTTCTGATGAAGTGAGTCTGGGATGAGGTCCAAGAATGTGCATTTCTATCACTAGCTAGTTCCCAAGTGCTAATGATGGGCTGTGGGGGACACACTTCACAGCAGCACTGCTCTAGAATTTAAGGCACATACATAAGTCGTTTATTGTACTTTTAAAAAGGCACTCAATCTTAAAATAATCTGATAACTTGCTACATAGGACATATTGAAATTGGCACTACTTTCCACAGAGGGAAGAAAACCAAATTATTTTAATTTATTTCTTGATAAATCAGAACAAAAGCAACAACAAAAATAATGCCTTCAAAAGTGATCAACATTTTGTTCAAAACTGAAAAGCTAAATTTCCTGCATAGAGTGAATCTACATGGACAAATTGCTTAACCACATAGTATAATCCACGAGGAAAAAAATGATTGGACCATGTGTTTGTCTTAACTGATGACCTAATCTGAGCATTCTAAATCATCAAACTGATTTTGCCAATAAAAGCCTGAGGTAAATAATCAAATAATGTAACTTATTTTTACATTGATCATTTTTTCATATGTCCCAACACACTCTTTCCCCCAAATAAGGTCTGTTCCTTCCTTGTGTGTTTCATGATAATAAATAATGCCACTACTCTCTGTTCGGCACTAGGATGAATTTTTGCACGTACAACCTCATCACTGTCAAGATGCTTAGTGAAGATTAGAGTCCTATCCACTGACCACCTGAGAAATCTAAAGCTTCAAGGATTAAAATAATTTAGCTAAGAAATGACAGTGACCAAATTCAGTCAATCTGTGCACTGTTGATTCCAATACCTTATGAAATTCTAGTATAAGAGAAGAGTGTACTCCTAAACATTTTTGGAGAGGACTATGATCAGATTTATCTAAAATTCTTTCAAATTTAATATTTAAATAGTAAGAAGATAGGGTCTCACTCCAAATAAGGTAAGACCCCACAGACAGTAACGCAGTATTTTCTGAAGATCTGAAGTGTGAGCACAAAGGCAAATTTTTGCCTGTGACTGTCATCAGTCTCACTATTGTGTAATAAATAAACCATATACACTTACTAAAAAAGGCCACCTTGATCACCATGAAGAACTTTAAAGAGGATAAAAGAAACTGAAAACGTAACTTTGCTTTCCTTACAGTAAGGCCAATATCTAATAACATCAAATAAGAATCCTAGAAGGTATACAGTGTGAAATTAACTAATGATCTTCCAGAATGTCAATGTCATCAGAACCAAGATCATCTTTCTATTATGCTGTGATATGGATTTGATGACCTGTTACGTCATTTTTATTTTCAAATTCATTATGCTAATGATTATGTAACCCTATTCTAGGAATGAAATCTTTAGTTCCATCTAAGAAAATGCCTTACTGCATTAAACATCTAGTTTTAGAGAAATTGTTCCCACCTGCCCTAGTTTTGTGATTTTTTTACCAGGATTTAATCATTTTATCACTGTGATTAATTCTTTCCTTTGAAGACTCTTATAATTAGATGCCTCAAGCATGTATATATTATACCTATAAACAGTAAGCCTGACATTCCATGGGCTGGAGGAGAGAGCTTATCAACAACACTGAGGACACAATGTTCCATTTTAGAGGCCACATATGGGTGTCTGGTAATAAAAACAAAATGCACAAGAGAATCATTTTGTTACCTTTTTGTTGTTTTCATGTTCAAGGTCATCACTGGCCTAAATTAGAAAAAGAAAATACTTTGGTTATTTTCTAAGTGGCAAAATCCCAAATTTATTACTCATAAATATCTAAATATTTAAATAAATATCAGCTTGTTATTCTATTTATTTGTTAAGACAGGAAATTATTGATGGCATAAAACCATGGATGACAGCAAGTACTGAAAAGATGTGATGGCCTGTTTTATACACCAGAAAAGCAAATTTTAATGCTACTTACCTCCTTTGTTGATTGGTCTTTGCCTATTGAGATGTTTCATTGTAATAATTTAATTAGTGATTTAGTCATGGTGCTTAGGAAATAAATAATCAATGTGGCACCTCCCCTGATATGTACAGAGTAGCAAGCATCAATAACTACTCTTCGGTAATTCAACATTCACATCTGCGTATGTGCTATGCACTGAATGTGTCCCCCTCCCTCACCCCACCAATTCATGTGTTGAAACCCCAATCCCCCCAAGCTCTCCACCAAAACTTCTCTTCAAGGTCACCAATGACCTCCATGCTATCAATCCAGTGGACACACAAGTCACTCCACAGCACTCCACAGTCAACCGCTCCTTCTGCTGACACCGTTCTCTTGGCTTCCTTGGCGTCACTGCCTGACCCCCTCCTACTCCTTTGCCCATACCTTCCTCTTGTTTTCTGGCTCCTCTCCTGTGAACCCACCTTTAACTGGGGCTCCACTTGGGCCTTCTTTTCCACCTCTCCTCCTGAATCATCTCCATTATTTCCATGATCTCCTGAACTCCCAGTTTGTATCTCTAGCTTAACCTGTCTTCTAGATAAGGTGATGATGATGCTAGTGTGATGATAATCACGATCATGATGATGAAAACAATGACAGAGACACAACTAACACGTTACAGGGATTGTACCAGGCACCATTCTAAGCTCCTTATATATTATAGACCCACCCACTCTTCAGTGACCCAATAAAATAATTCTTATTATCTTCACTTTATGGAAGAGGAAACGAAGGCACAGAGAGCTTCAGTAACTTACCCGTGGTTAGACAGTTAGGAAATAAACCCAGAGAATCAGATGTCAGTGCTATAGAAACGCCTGCTTGGCACCTTCCCTTGAACCTCTCTGGGCATCTCAAATAGCTTGTCCCATTTAAAGCTTCTGAGTTCTTTCCTTCTCTTCCAGTCCTCTCCACTCCAGTAACAAGTGCCACTGTCTATGCAGTTTCTCGTGCAGGGACTCTAGAGTGTCATTTCCTTCTTCTCTCTCCCTCACTCCCCACATTGAATCCAGCAGGAAGTTGAGCCATTTTTTGGTCCCTCCATATATTTTGAAACTATTCAGTGCTCTGCTTCTACTGTCCAGTTTCACAACTGGGGACTCTTGTCCGAACTGCTCTTCCTGCTCCCACTCTTGTTTCCTCCCAGTCTCCATATGGTAACCACAGTAATCTTTTAAAACTCCTCTCAGCCTACTTTGTCCCCTTCTTAAAGAAAGTTTTTCAATGGCTCCACATTTCACTTAAATTAAAATTTGAATTTCTCACAATGGCTACCAAAGTCCTATGTCATCTGTGCCCACCCACCTGCCCCATCTCTCGTTTCATTCTCTCCTCATTCAACCCACGCTACTCACACTGTCTCTGTTGCTGCTGTTGAGGTCCCTCGCATGGTAAGTCATTCCTCTGTCTCTGTGCATGGCTGATTCCTCTTTCCCTTTTGCTTCTGGTTTCCTTATTTCCTCCATCTCGTTATTCTCCTTTTTAGCACTCATTTTCCTAATAGTGCTTATTGCAAGTTGTAATTATGTAATTATTTGACTGTTTAGCTATTTGCTGTCTGTTTCCCACACCCTTCCCTAAACGATAGGGGATTATAAGTTGACAAAGGGCAGAAAGCAAGTGTGTTTTGATCCTTTTAGATCATTATGACCGAGACTGTGCCTGACAAATAGTAGGTGCATAATAATTATTTTTCTTGGCTGATTGGTTGGAAATAGTCTTATGCTTACTCTATATTAGGAGGGAGAACTCTAATTAGTAGGACTGGTTCTCTAATGAGGGCTTGACTTGGGATGTTCAGGGGTCATTTTCCTGATAATTTCAACAGGCTACCTTTAGCCACTGGGATGCTGCTGTTGTCTCTCCTCCCACCTACAATAATGCAACAAATGACAGCATTTATAGGACACTGGCCACATGGGTAGTGGTCAACAAGAAAACGGTATCATTGCTTGCTACCGAGAAAAACAAATCTCTAAATGGATTGTCACTTCTTTTAACCACTAATTCCTCGTTATAGACATCATATTGATTCTCTGCAGCAAAAATTGCCAAACTTATAAATCTCAATCCAGAATACAACTCCAAAAATGGTCTATTGATGGGTAATAATGCAAAACATGGCACCTTACATTTGAGTAATCTTTATGATGTACAAAAGTATTTTAGGTGCATTTTCTCATCACGTCTTTACAATCTTGTGAAGAAGGTATGCTTCCTCATAGATGAGAGAAGCAAGGTTCTGAGAGGTCAAGAGATGTGAATAAGGACCCCACAAGCTGAAACTTAAACCCAAGTCTTTTGATTCCAAGTCTCAACATGTCATAGTTAAAAGGATGATTTTGGGTGTCACACTGACTTGGGTCAAGTCCTGTTACTTGGGGTTTATTATCTTTATGGTTTTGGGAACATTACTTAACTTTTCTAAGCTCCCATTTTCTTATTTCTTAAGCAATTTAGAAGGAGAATTACAGGCCACTACATTCTCTTGTGATTGTCACTTTCCAAAATTTCATTAATACAAGGGTACTTCAAAACATTCATGGAAAGATTTGTCTTATTATTTAATTCTATTTTTCCACGAACTTTTTGAAGTACCTTAGTAACAACTGCCACCTCTTGTGAGTCATGAAAAAAAAGGGACACGAAGACTCTGACCTTCTTAACGCTGTTTGCAACAGCTTCCTTGTGACCCAAGTCATCAGCAGAAAGTTCATTTCCAAATTTGAATTCAGGGTGAGCTTCCTCTTCTTGGTCAGCTGCGTGAAAGGTACAAGGAAAATCCATGAAGCCAGATTACTGCCAAGGACACAGACCTTGCTCGTAAGCTTGAGTAGAACATGATCACTCTTAGACAAAAAGGATGCTTAAAGAAAATGGGGTTATTTAAATATGCACATTTTTCTAGGTAAAGCTCTCACTAAACTCTTACGTATTGAAGGCCAAGAAACAAATTTTTTTATTTATTA